TCCTTATTTGTAAAATGGGGATAATAATAGCACCAAAGCTATAAGACTCTTGAGAAAATCCAGTGGGATAAAATATACAGTGTTTTGCAAATCTTAAAGTTTATATAAATGTCAACTATTAATGTTAGTGTGCTAGGCCCTGGGAATTTTTTTTTTAAGTCCAGCCCCATGATTACATCCTGGTGAGAAAATTCCCCCTACTCATGCAGGCTGCTGAGTGCTTTGTAATTTGTTTTCTTAGGGAATTGGCTGGAGAACCGAGAAGTTAAGGGGGTTTTGCAGAATAAGGCTTCCTGATTTTTAAGGCCAATTTTCCAACCACTCCTCCTCCTAACTTCCTTCCCCCACCCTTCACTAGAGATTTAGAGACAAAAAAGGAAAAAAAATAAAACAGAATGATCCCTGCCTTCATGAAGTCTAGACTCTGGAGGGGAAGAAGAATGTGCCCACAGACAATAAGTGTAAGATAATTGGGGGAAAGAAAGAACGCAACCCCCTAAGTGCTTCACACAGCACTTTGCATCCAAGTGCTGAGACCTTTCCCTACAGAAAGACTCAAAGAGGTTTATCATAAAAGGAAGACCCTCAATCCAGCCATTTCATTTGATGGATAAGGAAACAAGGACAGAAAGGGGAAAACACTAGCTGAAGGTTGTATGGAGAGATGAGTCAAGGCTGGGCTGGGGGTGGGACAGGAGAAGGCGAGGCTTTGAGGTCATCAGTCAGGTAATATGGATTAGCAGATTTGGAAGGCAACCTGCTTTGAGTAAAGTCTTTAACAAATACTTCTATTTCTCTTTTTTAAGGAACTCTATTCCCACGACTGTTGTTGGGGCTAGAATTTTAAAGCCTATACTTATTTGGATGGGATGGCAATATTGTGTAATATTGTTGATGGAATCAGGATCCTCTTAATTACCTGGAGTAAGGCTATTAAGGCTTTACAACCTATTAGGTTTCTAAAGACTTAGAAAGGTTATTACCAGGTTGGGAGATGAGATGAGAGTTAGAAAGAATAGCCCTGAGTAATATTAACAATCTCCATTTCCATGACATAATTTTTTCTTCAAATCAGTTAGGCAAATCGTAACGCAAGGATTACTAATCTCCATTTTGCAGGTAGAGAAACTAAAAGTTTAGAGAAGGAAAAGTGATTTGTCTATGCTCACACAGCTAGTGAGGATAGAACCAGCATCACCCAATTCTGCATTCTATGTTCTTTCCACCAAACCTCCAGTCTCTCTGGCACTGGGTTTTATAAAAGAGAAGAAAAAGGAGGGGAAGACACCTGAGAATAAGACGGATATTGGAATATCTTGCTATCTTCCTATCTTCCTCTGTATTTGGCATCAAAGAGCTGTGTTTGCATACTGGCTTGCTGCTTAATAGGTATGTGACACTGGAGAAGTCACATCTCCTCACTGGGTCTGTTTCTTCATCTCTAAAATGTAGAGATTGGACTAGACAATTTCTAAGGTCCCTTCAACCTTAGACCCTATTCCACCCTAGCAAGTGGTTATTGGCATCTTGAAGGTCAATGGCAGAAAATTACCTTAATCTCATTTCAATCGATGATGATTTCCTTTATCTTATTTCCCTTAAGCCCTTCCTAAATAATAATAATAATGAAAAAAAGAAGTAGGAGGAGGAGGAGGAGGAAGAGGAGGAGAAGGAGAAGAAGAAGGAGGAGGAGAAGGAGAAGAAGAAGAAAGAAGAAGAAGAAGAAGAAGAAGAAGAAGAAGAAGAAGAAGAAGAAGAAGAAGGAGGAGGAGGAGGAGGAGGAGGAGGAGGAGGAGGGGGAGAGGAGGGGGGGAGGAGGGGGAGAAGAAGAAGAAGAAGAAGAAGAAGAAGAAGAAGAAGAAGAAGAAGAAGAAGAAGAAGAAGAAGTTGTTTAAGGTTTATAAAGTTCTTCTCATGTATTATCTCATTTGATCCTTACAGTCAACCATTTTACAGATGAGGAAACTGAGGATGAGAGAGATTGACTTGTCTGGGGTCACATAGCTACTAAGTGTCTGAGACCCACTTTTGCCCTTGCTTCTAGGCTGACAAAACAGAGCTTTCTATTTTTGTTTAAAGACGTGGGGGCTGAAATGCAAATTAACCTAACTGCCAGCATACTCCTTACAGAAACTTGGGTATGAAAGTCTCTCTTGAAAGCCTGGAGGGGTGGATGCTTTCTTAGAGGAGTGTCCCTGTGGCTAATCTTGTTCTGCATTTCCTTGTTCCTTTAATCCCCTTTTACTGGCAGGAATAATAAAAATAATAATTTATACTGTGCTTCAAAGTCTACAAAGTGCTTTCCAAATATTGTCTCGTTTGAACCTCACTACCACTCTGCGAGGTAGGTTCTATTACTATCCTCCTTTTATGGGAGAGGACTGAGGCTTGCCCAGGGTCGCACAGCTAGTAAGCGTCTGAAGCTGGATTTGAACTCGAGTCTTCCCGACTCCAGACCTGGTGCTCTATCCACTGTGCAACCACAGGCAAACAAACTTTCTCTTTAAAACTAAAGTGCTGCTTCTTCCTTAAAGGGTGCAGTGGGTAGAACACAAGGCCAGGACTCAGGAAAGCCTGAGTCCAACTCTGGGCTCAGACATTTACCAGCTGTGTGACCGTGGACAAATCACAACTTCTCAGCCTCAGTTTCCTCATCTGTAAAAGAGAGATAAAAATAGCCCCTGTCTCCTAGAGGATGTTATGAGGATCAAATGAGATATGTGTAAAGCTCTTAGAAATGCTGGCTCTTATTACTATGAAGCCTACAAAGATTCCTTAGCCCTTAGCATGCTCTTTCTCGCCTAATCTCATAGCATTTCATCTTTTTTCTCCCCCCCAGGATCACCTTCTAATTTGTGTAGTATGTACTTTTACATATCTTATCTGCCTTTCTTAGTCTGTAAGCGGAATCTTAAGAGTTGGACAGGCCCTTAAGAGTCTGTTCCAATTTACCCAGAATCCCCTCTAGAACTTAAGGCAAAAGGACCTCTGGCATCTGGTCAGATGAAACGCCTTTGCCTCCTAAAGCATCAGATTGAGCTTTGGACAGTTCAACTGTTAAGAATTCTTTACTTACAGAGAGCCAACATATGCCTCTCACTCTTAGGTCTGTCCCCTGGGGCCAACCAAGATAAATCTAATCACTCTTCCCAGCAGCAGCCCTTCAAATATTTGACAACAGCTGTTATGTCCCCCTAAAGCCTTTGCTTCTTGACTCTAAATCTCTCTAGTTTCTTCAGAAAGTCCCCATGTAGCAGAGACCCTAGCCCCCTCACCATCCTGGTCACTCTTCTCTAGACACTCTCTGGCTTACCGATAGCTTCCCTAAAACGTGATGCCAGGAACTGAACATGGTATTTCAGAAGTGGTCTGACCAGGGCAGAGTAGTAGGGGACTCTCATTTCCCTTGTCCTGAATGTTCTGCCTCTCAAGTGGGCTTAGGGAAGCGGTAGCTTTGTTTTGTTTATGTTTCTATGCAATAGGAGACAAAACATTGACTCAACAAATATTTGACATAGGTGCCATCTTGTATTTGTGAAGTTGACTTTTTGGACCCAAGGAGGAGACTTGACATTTATCTCTATTTGATTTCAGCTTAGATTTGGGGACAGCTCCATGGAGGAGAATATCTCTGCCTTTCTGCAACTTCTGCCCATTACAGTGTGTGGTTAAAGAGAAAGAGAGAGCAAGTGTTGGAGAAGTCCGGAGACAGCAGCAAGAGAAGAGAAGGTCATTAGGGGGTCTGGTGTGGCCACCTTTTAAACTCAAGGAGCTAAGCGGACTTAAAGGCTGCGATGTCCAAGAAGCTTGAGGCCTCTTGGGAAGTGGTTCAGAGTACAGGGAGGATTTAGGGGGTAAGGAAAAGAAAAAGTACTGGGGCCAAGAAGGAACTAGAACCTTCTAGAAGGTCCTTGACTAGCTTAGGCCCAATGTCAGATCATAGAATTGCAAACAAAGAACTTGAAGGGACTTTTAACAGTCACCTCTCTCATTTTTCTTACAAATGAAAAAAAAATGAAGCCCAAAGAGTTTAACACACTTATCCAAGATTATGCAGATAAGACTGGAGGGGCCATCTGGTCCAACCCTTCATTTTACAGATGAGGAAACTGAGGCCCACAGAAGTTGACTTGCCCAAGGACCCATGAGTATTAAGTAGCAGAGCTGGGATTTTGGCCGGTGTCCTCTGACTCTATATCCAGAGCTCTTCTCCATGGATCTACCCATCTCTGATCTCCCTCAACACCGGCCACTTATTCCACTCAACCCAGCCCTTGATTCTATCTTGACCTGTGTGGTTATCCAGTTGTTCCTTGAGCGTGTCTTTGCTTTCCATTAAGTTGACTCATTAGAATTTCTTAAGTGTCTACTACATGCCAGTACTAGGCTAAGCTCTTTGAGGGCAAGTATGCAGCTCAGACTTCTGTCTCTCCTGTGTAGTCCAGACGAGGGCTGGATACATGCAAGTGTTCAATAAAAAATATACTCTAGAGTAGTTGCTTTGTGTGCCTTTCAAACACTTGCCATTGTAACCTGGAGACCCAGTTCTACCTATAACCCAAAAACTGCTCCAGGAGGCAAGGGTCCCCACTCTTTCCTCAGTTCTTAGTGGGGGGATCATTTTGATTTCCCTGAATTCTTATGGGAGGGGGCTGGGCTGGGGAATGTAAGGTACTGGAACTGGGACTGTCCAGTTGGGGGTCCATGCCTTTGGTAAATCTGTTCTTCAAAGTCCAGCATCCCTGTCTCCCCCCCCTACAAGCCCTGGTACTCTGCATCCTCATACATGATGGGCTCAGAAGAGGTGAGATCAAAGTGTTAAGGCCCCCAGCCCGCCCCCCTCCCAAGCTCTGAGCTCCCTAACCCTTTATATGGAGATGAAAGGGCGAATGAGGTGAGGATGGAAGAAAGTCTTGGGTTTCAGGCAGGCTTCCATCCATGGACTGAAGGATGGAGGAAGAGAAGGAATTTGCAAAAGCAAGTGAGAGTCAGAATTATTCTTGGATTTTTTTTATTAACTCCTTCTAGGAGGGAGAGTATGCCCTTTTCTTAGAACTTCCTACTTCAAGCTTTTGCTCCGTTCTCCAATTTTCTGGTCCAAAGCCTTCTGCAGATTCAGGTCTAAAGCATTCTTCTGATGCCACCGCCCTGAGGAAGAAGGAAAACGAGAAGGCCTTATTCACAGCTGCTGGAAACAGCGTGGTATCCTGAGCTAGATGGGCCATTTCCCCAACCTGTCCACTGGGCCCATTGCACTAGATTGCTCTCTTGGAGTGCTTCTGGATTCTGGGCCATGGATTTCCTCCTGGGCCTCAGTTCCAAAGATCTTCTGCCCAAGAGGGCAAGGAAAATCAGAGAATTTAGAGCTAGGTATGGGGTAGCAACTATTCATAAGATCATAGGTATGGTGGTTATCAAGTCAAGCCCCCCTTTCATCTTACAGATGAGAAGAGAGACTGAGAGGTCAAAAGCCTTACCCAAGGTCACACAGGTGACAGGGATCTGGAAGGGACCTCTTGTTCAACCCTTTTATTTCACAGACTAGGAAACTGAGACCCAGGTAGCTAACACGATTGAGGTCATGCAGGTAGCATATAGCAGACTAGGGGCTCAGAACCAGGTCACTGGACTTGAAATCCAGTGGTCTTTCTATTAGACCAAACTGTTTTTAGTTCATTTGTTACACTCACTCTTAGAAACCATGTCAGTGGGTACTGTGTTCCCTGTACACTGGCTAGCTAATCCACCCCTCTTTGCTTTTTATTTTTAATTTTAGAAGAGGACAGAACAATTTCTTCCCTTTGCCTCCTCTCACCTCCAACCCCCAATATTTTTCCCCATCCTCAAACTTACCAAGGTCATCTGTCTTCCTCCCATACCAATGCTTGGGGTCCCTCACAGCTCTCTCAATCACATCTGCGGTGTAGGAGTCCTTCATTAAGCTCTTTATCTCCATGGGGGGCCCTGTCAAAACCCCTGGGAAGGTTGGGAGTTGCCAAAATGAAAGTATAGTCAACAGGGAAAAGAGGAAGGAGGGAAGGGAAGATCAGACATCAGTGGATGTCATAGCCTTTAGAGAGGGACCTAGCACCAAGGGTCTTAAATTCACCCTAAATTCAGAGAGGGTGCCTTAGGAAAATAAGGAACTCTTGCGTATATGAGATCATGGTCCCAACACCAGCTCTGCCCATAAGAGTTTAGCTGAGAGACCTTGGAATATCCCATCTCCAGGCAACCACACAAGTAACACTATGCCTTATGTAGGCTGCCCCTTCATTACCCCAGCTTTTGGGCACCTCCACCTGTCAAAAGAGTCTTCTTTTCCTTCAAGGTCACATTTGCATGCCACTGTCTCTAGGAAGCTTTCCTTGATCCCACCCCACCCTAGCTGAAGGCAGATAACCCCTTCCTTAAATCCCCCCAAATCTCTTCATCTGGATCTCTCATTTGCTCCCCAATTCCCTCCTTCAACACCTTGTATCAAAGCGATTTCATAGGATCCTAGGACTTAAGAGATCAAAGAGGACTGTAGTACCAAGTCTGACCTGCTCATTTTATAGGGAGGGAAACTCAGGCCCATAGAAGGGAGGGATTTATGTGCATCTCATAGTAGAAAGTATGATCCTTGGAAATGTAGCTTTTCCACCAAGCGCAGCGCCTTGTAAATAGTCAGCTCTTAATTTTTGTTGAAATAAAGTTAAAATGAATCTTCTAGGAAGACCGTGTCCTTATTAAGGGGATGGGAGCCAGATAACTGAGTTTCTATCCCTGGTTTTTCCACTTACTAGCTGTATGTCCTTCAGAAAGTTTGCTTTTTTGAGCCTCAGTTTCCATCTCTGGATGGAGCAAAAAGCCAGGGAATACATGTCCCACACTGCCTTGAGTTGGCATCACTCACTGGAAGAGAAGAGAATTCTTGGTGGACTCTGTCTCCCAGAAGGCTGTGTCTGATGATCCACAGTGCTGTGAGGGCATACTTTGGGTAGGCATTCTTCCTGAGAATTCAGTTTTCAAAGAACGTGAGAGAACTGCAGGGGTGGTGAGAAAGGCCCTTGGGATGGCAGGTGGGCCCAGGCATAGCCTGGAGACTGAGAAGGACAGCAATGAAATAGCAACCACATCTCGACCCAGCTGAGTGTATAGATGCATGAGCCGGGACGATGAGGCACAGAAAGAGAGATGCTAGCAATGGCTTGAGGGGAGGGTCCCAAGAAGACAATGTCTGTTCACTCCTGGAAGCATCTGAGACTGCTTGCTGATGCAACTAACATCCCACTGTGAGTTTAAGTGAACTCTCCCTTTGTCCTGCTGTGTTGGGGATGAGGGCCACAAGATATCCAGGAATGAATACTAAAAACACTTGATCCATAATTTACTTTCTGACTTTTACTGGGCTATCTATTTAATCTATCTATCTGTCTATCTATCTATCTATCTATCTATCTATCTATCTATCTATCTATCTATCTATCTACCTATCTATCTATCTATCTATCCAGTTGTAGATATTTACAACAAATTATATATTATATATTTAGAATATATTTGTGTATTTACATATTTCTATATATATGTATATGCTTACATATAAATACATTTCTATAATATTTATATATGCATATATGCTTCCCCCCCTCAAATTCTTGTGTCATCTGACATGATCTGACAGAGATTCTTGGGATAGAAGCTTGGAACAGTGGATTTGAGATATGAGACTTTGTGTGGCTGAAAAGGTCTTTGTGCAGCTGAAAATTTTGTGGGACATGTCCAGAATTGATTTTTATTTTCTGTGAATTTTTTTTTAAGAATTCAGGCCATTTAAATTACTGAGTAAACCTAAAGCCACCTGTCTAGGGCAGGAATTCACTAAAAATGGTTTTTCTTCCTTTTCTAGTCTGTAGAACGACAAAGTTTCCCAGTGAAACTCTTATAGGCCAGTAAGGTAATTTAGAATGTCTGTATTTCTATGGTGTGTCAACGTGTCATTGAAGTATTGCTGTTTATGTTGGAAGCGACATTCTGAAATTTTCGTCATACCACGTGCTTCATTGTACTAAGACTTTTAGAATACCCTGTACGTTGCATATTTGAGCACTGGTTGAAATGTTTTCCATGGCTACTTAATCATCTTTGAACTCAAGGAGATGAGTCTTCTGACTCAGGCCTGGCCCCCTGTGCACCCTGGCTCCCAAATTAGTCTCTATATAGTAATGGAGGCTGAACTTCTAGCTGGTTAGTGACCTGACATCAATCAAAACAAATCATTAACCAAGATATATTACTAATCATAATCATAATGCAGTGGATAGAGTGCCAAGCCTGTAATTAGGAAGACCTGAGTTCAAATCCCAGCTCAAGCACTTACTAGCTGTGCGACTTCACCCTGTTTGCCTCAGTTTCTTCATCTGTAAAATGAGCCAGACAAGGAAATGGCCAACCACTCTAGCATCTCTGCCAAGAAAACCCCAAATGGGGTCACGGGGAGTTGGACATGATTGAAATGACTGAACACCATTCCCAGAATGTCTCTGTAGTCTGGCTGGGGTTGGGGAGATGGGAACCATCCCTAAGGGTGTGGAATCTAGGTCTATCCCCAGTGGAATGATTCATGGCAGTAAATTGCACTGTGTGACAGTGCTTCCCTCAGTTTTTGCATCCCAGGGAAACAAAGTTAAAATACACCCCAAGGACCGCCTTTAGTAAAAGAAAGAACTCTCAGTCCCTAAATGGTTAAAATTTACACTGTCTGATGCCGGGATGTAATTAGGATGACACACTTTTTTTTTTTTGGCTAGGCAATGAGGTTAAGTGACTTGCCCAGGGTCACATAGTTAGCAAGTGTCAAGTGTCTGAGGCCGCATTTGAACTGAGGTCCTCCTGACTCCAGGGCCCAGGCTCTATCCACTGCACCACCTCGGGAAAGGTAAACCAAGTCCAGCTGTTTAGCCTTGGTATTGGGGGGCTATCATGGGCTGATCTGATAGCAGGTGAGCTTTGGTTATTTCTATTTCTTTCATTAGCTGAGCTAATCTTCTCCTCTTCTTGTAGCTGCTCTCCCCTGTCACTGCTTGGCCAGATTTGCTCAGCAGTTAGGGCTAAGAGGAGCATGAGGACCCCAGAAGCTTGACTTCAGTTGAGAGGGGAGATGTAAGGCAGATGGGACAGCACCTTGTGTGGGGCAAACTGAGATCCCAGGATACCAGTGTTTCTGGGAAGGCTACCTTATGGAAGATGAGGGAGAAAGCAACCCACACCAGTCCTGGGAGCTTCCTCTCTTCATATTCTTGCTAACTTGGTGCTATGTTGAGGTTTTTTCCTTCTTTTTTTCTCCAGAGCTACTGGAAGATTGCAAGTGCTCAGTGCCCTCTCAATTTCATACCCTGGGGCAAAGCCTTAGTTGCCCAGTCCTAGTTATGGCTTTGGGTTCAAGTCTCCTCTATGGCCTCCCCTCCAGTCATACATTATAAGTATACTCATATGCATGTGTGCACGCACACACCCACACCCACACCCACACCCACACACCAACTTGTTGGTCTTACCTCTAGGAAAACACTGAACACCACCATAATTGTAGGGCTTGAGTCATAAAACTTCTTTTAGACAGCTGAAGTTTGGCTGGCTGACAGAGGAAGGTCAAAGAGGAAGCTGTAGTGGAAAGACCACTGAACTTGGAGTCATGAGACCTGAGTTCAAATCCCATCTCTGCCACTTATTCCCTGGGAGATCTCAGGGCAAACACTTAACTCTCGTTGGTTCTCAGTGCTCTCGTCTGTAAAATGTAGGGGTTGGATGAGATGGGCTCTGAGGTCCCTTCCAATTCTAAGTCTGTGACTCCAAATCACTTATCTTCCTTTTGTGTCAGTTTACTTATCTGTAAAATGAGGGGCTGACCTCTCAGTCCCTTCAGTTCAAAGTCTGTGGCCTCAGATCTCCCCATCTGAAAGCTGCCAACCTTTTTAAAAACCAAGACTGCCTCCCTAGGCATGCTGCTCTCCACCAACCAATCATTCATGGCTAGGGGACTCTCCCTTTTAAAGACCACCTTCCTTGACTTCCCAGGAAACCTGGGGGAGTGAAAGTAAGGAAAGTCAGCTTCTGCTTCCATGGAGTGCTGGATTGGGAGGTCAGCAACCCTGGGTTGGGATCTCGGCCCTACTACTTAACAGATGCGTTGCCCTGTCATCAACCCTCTCTAGACCTCAGTTTCCCCACCTGTAAAATGAGGGGTTTGGACAAAATGGTCTCTTAGGTTCTTTCCAGCCTTAGGTCTCAGATCCTATGACCCCAATTCAAACCCCTATTTCCCTGGTAAAGCCTTGCTCAATCAGTCAGTCAATAAGCATTTGTTACACTATATGCCTGGCACTGAGCTGAGAGATGGGGATGTAAAGAAAAGCAAAAATAGTCCCTGCCCTCGTGGAGCTTACAATCTAATGAAGGAGACAGCATATAAATAACTAGGTACATACAAGATATAGACAAAGCAAATAGGAGGTAATCCTGAGAGAAGGCAGTAGGATTGGAGAGAGATCTCTTGAAGGTGGAGGCATTTGAAGGAAGCCAGCAAGAGAGACCATTCCAGGCATGGGGAACAGCCCTTTGAGGAACAGCAAGGCCAGCATCACTAATGGGTGGCAGTGGTGAGTGAGGAGCACCCCTCTCCTACTTGTCACTGTGTGCCAGGAGAGAAGGCTGCTTGGGAAGGTACCAAGGAAGGTCTTCAGAACAAAGCTAGACCTCAGTGAGCATCAGAAGACAGAAGGAACATGCGAGGAAAAGATCGACAATGGGGGAAAGGAATGGAGTTTATAAACAATATATGAGAGTTCCATTGGGCACAGTGGAAAGGGAGGGCAAGGTTGGAGAGGGGCTGGGGAAGACTAAGGCCAGGTCTACCATGGGAGAGGGCCCGGTGGCTGCTTCATAGCTGACCCTCTTCTGACAATCCCCAGGTAGTCAAGCTCTGTCTCTAC